CATAATCTTTTTTTGTTCTTTTCATTTCGATTCACACATCATGCTGTGTACAGAAAGTACCGAACTATATAACCGCAAGTTATTTTCTGTTTTATTCTTCTGTCAAGGAACGATGAAGTATTTGATTCTAATGTGAGAGCCGTATTTTCTGTAACAGGTGAACGAAAACATGGAAACGTGTCCAGACATTTTTGTATCTAAAAACACTGAAAAACCTTGGCTCATGCCGTTCCGTACACCCGGACGACATTCATTCCCAACATTCAGACATTGTTTGGTTATCGAACATCCGATCTATCTCCATTCCGACCTTCGGGACTTTTCATTCCGAACATCCGGACTTTTTCCATAAAAACACGAGCTCCGAACGGACTACTCTGTCGGATGTCCGTAAGAGAAAGCAAGAACGAAAAGGGACGCGGCCGGACAAGCGACCTCTCGCAGATGACTTTGAAAAGGTTTTTTTTTGCAGCCTTGAATTTTGATCGTCGATGATCAAAAAGCACATCATTTGGTAGAGGATTTCAAGCCCGACTCAGCTGAATGAAAGAAAAAGTTTTAGAGCATCCTTTTAAAATCAATCTTAGAAGCGCGTAGATTTTTTCTTACAAAGTGCTATACTACAAGAGAAAAGAGAATAAACTATATTTTAACGAACATCCGTTCTTTTCTGTTACGAACATGTGCAGTAGAGCACGTGAATGTCGTTTCATTCTCTGTTTACTTTGCATAAGGCTTTTTGATAGTTAATGGTTTTGCCCGTTGTTTCACCATGAATCGTTAAACTCGCTAAAAACAAGCATAAACTAACTGTATGTACCTGAAACTGAAATTCACATTGAGCGTTAACAAACCGCTTTTGAACAGTTATAATATCATCAGTTTTTAACCACTAGTCAACGAAGCATGCACTCTTTTGTTTCGCTATTATGACTATTGTATTCAATCGGGACAATAAAATAATTGATTTAACCGTGTTCCTCTTCTTTGCAAAATTCATGTGGTTCATTCATTTTAAATTTAAAATGTTAAATTCATTATTTATTGCGCCAAAATATGCATTTTTATTATCATGGCATAAAGAGTGCTCTCGTTTTCCGCAACCATGACGCCGTGTAACTTAAATTTTGTCGGTCGATAGAGCAATTAACTCTCTACCAGAAACACATTATTTCATACGTCAGCAATTTGGGTTCCGAAATAGGCCGCCGATGCTTATCAGAGATAATGATTTAATATTTTCTCTGTGTATAAATCTGATGGTGACCAGTGAGTATGCTTCGAATATGCAGCGATGTTTGCTCTACGGCGGGAACGCGTAACTGTCACCCTCTGTTGCGGTGCGTTGAAGGTTGAAACAAGAGAAACGTGCCAATGCCATTTTAAAGAGCAATATCGAAAACGTATAGATAGAATATTTTCAGTGTCATAAAGCGACACAACGTATGCAGCGATACGTGCTTCTATTAGTCAAACAGTATCAGGAAATATGTACTACTCCCTTTGTGCTTTACGTAATGCCTTCGAGAAAAACAAATAGATATTTGGGTTGAGCGCTTTGAGAGCTGCCAAAACATGTGTTTTGTTGTGTATTTTAGTTGAGTTTTAGGGAGAAAAACGGACTTAAATGCCTGTTTTTCATCGAAAAATACACTCATAAGAATATCATTGTTTTCAGTTGACTCTAATCATGTACTTATTTCTAAGAGAGATAGTGTCTCCCAGATGGATGTTTTACGCATAAGAACTATAGAATATATTTGTTTAGGTAAAAAACCCTTCTTTTGTTCTTGCTTACATCGACTTAGCCAGCTATTTGTTACCCTTAGCAGTATATCTTTTCTATCAAATCAGGCTTAAAAGCTCATTATTAGATACAGTTTTTTTGCACTGATGACGAATATCAACTTTAAAACGAACGAAACTCAAATTTTTAAATTGAAAGCTCAAATTCGAAATTCGTAAGCTTTTTTATTTCAATTTTCTGACATTTCAAAAAGTATTCGGTGGATAGAGAACTACGTTTTTTACACAATGCACTATTGATTTGGCGAAAACAATCTTAAAAAACGCATTTTAAGCACTAAACACCTTTTCGAGGATTTTTCACGAAATTAAAATAGAGTAAAGTTTTTGGAGTAAATTTTGCAGTAATTCTGCGAAAATCAAACGCATTTCTCCCATCGATTTTTAACGCTTAGTTTGATAGAGAGCACTCGATTGCATAAGGTTCATGGAAATTAAACGCAACGGAGAGAAAGAAATTGATGTAATTCCATTGTGCTCGCTTCTCTTCATTTAAGCGTTTCGAAGTGGGAGCTTCAAAAGCTCTTTTATCTTCTACAATTTTGTAGTACACTTTTTTCTGAATAAGTCTCGTTTCAGAGCATTTGTCATAGTTTGCAGAGCTCTAGAAAAAAGAGACTAAAACATGTAATTCTTTTGCTTATAAAAACCGTTCTACTGAATCGATCCACTCCATACTTTTACCACAAACCAAGCACATATCTGGTAAAAATTTCAAGTTTAGTATTGTTTAGTATTTGTGGAGAAACAGAGCTCAAGAGTGAAAAAAATATAATTCCGTCACGTGCGCGAACAGTTCAATAGTGTTGAATAGTTTTTTTTCTATAATAATTGACATTGCACCTAGATATTTAAACTTTTGATTGCACACAATAATTGAACAAATTCATGCAATGATATACAAAGTACAAAACCGATATTCAGAAGCATTACAAATTTATGATAAATGTCTTCACATGTTTATAAATGTACTACCAAGTATTCATCCTCTGACTGCAACTATCTATAATAATATGCAGATATCTATTATGAACTTGGTGATTATGATAAAGATATTGAATATTTAAATAAAACGTTAGAAATTGAATTAAATACAGTTGCTACAAATCATCCAGATTTAGATAGAACCTATCATAATTTATCTACGGCATTTCATGAACAGAATAAACTTAATGAAGCTTTAAAATATATGCAAATGGAAAAAATGTTTACCACTCAATCATCCACATTTTATTAATTGTTATGGATGGTTTTGTAGAATGGAACGAGAATTGAAGAACTAAGAAAGAATTTTTTCTAACTTACTTTGAAATACATTTACATTTTCCTTTATTCCAAAAAAATGCAAATCTTCGAAGAAACTTATCCCACATGCTTTTCAGATTATTTTACTTCAATAAGATGATAATGTCTTCGAATTCTGAAAAAGCTACTGTATTTTAATTCCGATTTCAAAAGAAGTTTGTTTCAATTGATCTAGTGCTGTATCGTCATAGGACACAGCAGAAAAAATCGATTTTCCTTCCCTGTTGTAGCGTCACTTTAAATCACATGTATCACATTAAATAAAACCTTAGTATGTTAAGAAAAATAAAGTTATTTGCATAATTTATGTTCGTGTTTGACGATTTAAAATAACTTAACAAAAATATTCTATTAATACCGGACGTCTTTAGTGGAATCCACAATCAGGGTGTCAAAGAGGCGCCAGATACAATTTAAGATGTGTGTATCACACATCGCCTACGGATCAAAAACTATCGATGAACTGCAAGTTCGGACAGTGAAGGTTGGTCACGAACTAGGTATAGAACACAAAGCCAACGTCGAACTCGAGAAATAATAATAATCTCTTGTTCATTGATGACCCACAATATCGGCAATGAGCGAACCACTGATAACAGACATGCTCTTGTATACATTGCATACATAATGCAAAGTTCTCAGCCATTTTACATTTCTCTAAACACATTGCATTATTCACAAAACTCTCACACATTGTTCGCTGATGGCAGTATCAGAGTTAAGCAAATAAGTTATACAATTCAACTTCTTTGTATTTTCTTTAACGATTTTCAAAGCCACTTACAATAAACAATATTTCGAAATGGAAACAAAATTTTCTCTATCTGGTTTTTGCACTTGAACTTGAAATTTTATTTTATGCCCAAGAAAACATTTGGTAACAAAGGAAAGCACAAAAAAACCAAAGACTTGTAAATGCACCACGCAGAAAAGATATGAACCACGAGAAGTGAGTATAGAAGAAAAATCAATATCAAAAAAAAATAATAAAAAACAACAACAATAAAAAGACAAAAAGAATAACACATTTATATGGATAGGTGAGCGCGTAATGCTCATTTGAAAGTAATAACTGTTTGACAAGATACAACAGTATTTGGCAGGGTTTTTTTAAATAACCGAAAATATTTCCGCCCTGTAGATAAATCTAGCAGCTGAGTTTGGTGATCAAAAAGGTTACCGAACTATCAAATTTTTTAGAGATCATTATTTAGTAATTTGATCTAAATCTTCTTTATATCATTTACTACCGTAAACTACACTAGCGTAGTCTACCCTACTCAAAATACATACTTTAAAATTGGCTAAATGCATCTTTACCGGACACTCCCGGAATGTTCTAAACATTGCACCTAAGCGTCTTCTACATCCGAAGATTATGTCTCTAACGTGCTTGTTGTCTTATAATATTGCATTTAGCATCGAATTGATATTTCCTTATGCATAGGATAATTTCGAGTGGAATTGATACGGAACGTGAGTATTGTTGTCACTATTTATTATTATTCATGAGTTCATTTATAACATCAGCAATTTGTTCACGGCTCTACTCAGCTGCTACTTTCGGGCTGGGTAACTGCAACTCTGGAGTTGAGGACTTTTTTGGTGAAGTTGGAGTTGGAGTTTTGAATTTCTATTCTCAACTCCGTTTTACATTTTTAGAAATATTCAATAGTTGTAAACTGATCTTCTAAACAATTGAGTGCCTGTATTCACGAGTGGATTTGGAAGTTCTTTGCTCTTTCCTGCCGGAAAAAGCCTAAAAACGTCCGGAGTCCTGCTAAAAATCGAAAAAGTTTTCTTACAAAAGTGAAGCAACCGCAGTTGAACGTGAGTTGAGATTTTTGTTGAGAGAGTTAGAGTAGAGTTGAAAGTCAGCGGAGTTGCCCAACCCTGTGCTACTCCTTCTCATTTCCTATGTTAACAAGAAACTGATGTCAACCGCCCACGTCGTCAATAAACGAACATTTTATTGCACACGATAGCGCTCACAATAACAACAACGATAAAAACCGAGCATAGCAAATTAGACACTGCGTGCTTCTAGTTTCTCCGACGTAGTCAAAAATCGATAGATTCAGGCTTACGGTATGTATAAGTGTAGGTATAAGGCATATGTCACATATATGAAAATATGAAGTGTTTTCCTTATGCACATATGATACATCATTCGACGCCAAATACGATGAAGAACTTAAATATAATGATATTTTTTCTTGAAAGTTTGTCTTGGTTGAAAAAATCAGCAAATACGTCGCCAGCCGGGGCTGAAAATTAATAACGAATGTTGTACCTCGATATTTGAAAATAGCAAAGAATTTTTATACGAGAGCAGACATCATTGTCTATTCTTAGCTGACACTCTCACCACCAAATGTTTTTATGACCGAGAAAAAGCTGAATCACTTGAAAGTTATTAAAATAGTGTGTTCGAAAGCTTGCCAACTTCAAATGCTGACTTACATCTCATTCAGTGCGTCGTTGTTCGCTGAATTTAACTTTTAAAAAATGTATGTTAGGACCGCAAAAGGCCGAATAACTTGGTCGATCGGGTGAAACTATTGAGTATCACTTTTCTCGGCGAAGACAAATTGATTACGAGAGTTATTTACAACTTTGTGTTTTGCAGCTTTATGTTAAGCAAAATGTACTGTGTATTTAATATAGGGCTTTGGACAACATTGAATGGAAGAGTACAATCAGGGAAGTATCTGGGACCTTAGAACACGACGAAGGGGGAAAAACATTCGGTGCAACTTTACAAAGCTTTTCTGGACAGTAAAATTTCTTCTTCCGCTGATCGATCTTTTCTAGAAAAAGTAAAACTATACTACTGGCAAAAAACAAACATTGTCATCTCTTGAGTACAACATGAACATACAAAAGCTAATACAGCTTAAAAATTTTGTAAGTGCGGTTCCGAACTTCGTTACATATTTCAAGGAGCGTTTGAAGATGTGCCGCTTTGTGGTATCATTCCTACTTGTGCGAACTATTTAGCCAAATATCTGACGCAAATATTAATTCGAAAAGGCTACCATAAACCATTTCAAAAAATCTCTGCATCGGTTTAATACCATACTCAATCCAAATTAACAGTCGAATCAAACACAATTTATAGCTCACCAGAATATCCCTTAAACAGATAGTAAAAAGCCTAAAAGGATTAATCTTCATGGCTCTTGAAGACCCGATTTTCTAGAACATCAGTTTTCCAAAAACTCTAAAAAAATAACCAAAACGTTTCTTAATAAGCCGTGCTTGTAGTCCGGAAATTCCTGATTAAAAATGAGACGTCTTTCAGCTCTACAAGACCTTTCTTTGCAAAGTTACAGAATTTACAAGAAAAGCCCTAAATTAATTTCGTCTTATTTCTGTGGCTACGAGCTGACAATGAATACTTAGGGCTTTTCTTGTAAATTCTATAACTCTGCTAAGAATGGTCGTGTGGAGCTGGAAGACGTCTCATTTAAATCAGAAAGCTCCGGACTACAAGCATGGCTTATTAAGAAACGTTTTGGTTATTATTTTAGAGTTTTTGGAAAACTGATTTTCCAGAAAATCGGGTCTTCGAGAGTCATGGGGATAAATCCTTTTAGGCGTTTTACTATCTCGATATAAGCTATCGATTGATATATGTTTGAAAGAAATCGGGGTTGGACAGCTGGGAATGTCCCCTTGTAAGAGAAACAGAAATTTTATCTCCGAGCAGTAGTGATTTTTCACGTCACTTTTCTGATGGACACTTCCTTAAACTGTTTAACTTTACACAACGCATAACGATTATGAAGTTGGAAAAAAGACACAGTTCCTATTAGAAGTAAAAAGACAAAAATATTTAGAGTTGGAAAAGCCCAACCATCTGTTTTCGTTCTGCTATTCTCATACGAAACAATACGACATAAATACCGAAAAATGAAAATTTTCTAAGAAAAGAAGCGCCTCAAAGAAAAAAGCTAATTGTCTGTTATTTTCAAGTGGTTGGACAAAACCTTGCTTGCATATCGGTAGTATTTTCAATAAACATGTATATATATACAGAATCGATATGTGACTACAGACAAACCACATACACACACACCTGTTGTAGTCTTCAACCATAACCTGTTCTTTATACATTTTCAAATAAAATACTATTTACTTCATCACGCAATCATGCCAGGTAAATACTTTAATGTTAAGTTACACTCGAAAAATATACAGAAGAAATGTCTAGGCTACAGAAAAATCCTTTACAAAAAATATCGTACACGTATATTTTCTGTATCAATAAGCGTAGCAAAGAAACGCCTTTAAATCAGACAACGTACTTGATACTGTTGCCTGAATAAGCTTCACAATGGACAATAATGTGCATCTATATTTTCCCGAAAGGAAAGATGCAAAGTCTTGTATTACTTTCCTGGGATATTGAAGTTTGATATCTAGTTCAGCTTTGCATCGCTTCCTAGCAAAATGATTTCAGTTATTACATTTACACAAATTCATAATATCATATTTAAGAAGGATAGACGTGTGAAAGAAAAATGTCCGAACGTGTATTGATAACAGTTTGTCTGTGATAATCTTTAAGATCAAATTAAGCCCTCCCTTCATGATAGAAAAGTCGATTCTGGAGAAAAACATACACACTAAAAAATAATATGTCACATGTGCCGCAAATTGCGGCATATTCATCTGTGACATATTTTTGCCGTTGAGACTGCGACACATTCTGTTGAGTATTTCTACCACAGAGAAAATCGTGGAAATTAAGTATTTTTGATCTCTTATTCAATTTTAAGAATATTTATAGTTCGTTTTGGGTGCGCTATGCAATGTGAGCGAGCTCAATCCGCCCGTAATATTCACAGACCTTCAGAATATTTAGTTTCCAAGATCTGGGATTAATAGCGTAGTCAAGGCCACGGACTGATTCTTTTCGTTAGAGAA